AGAAGAACCTACTTGGGTTTTGAAAGTGGCAGTGGCCGTCGTAGCAGAAAAAGAAGAACTTCGTCTCATAGGCCCCCGCGTTGCTGGGATAGCTATGTATCCCTTCGGCGATGGTAGGTCACCGGGACAAGTAATAGGAGTCCTTGTCCTTACTTTTCTTAAGAAAGTATGCGACGCCAAGCTCTGCTGCCGGTAGCTCGCCCAAGCCACTCTCGCGGCACGCGATGTACATCGCGACTGCGATGACATACGCGTTTGGCGTCAACTGCATTGGTACGATCCCGAAGTGATCCAGGACCGACCTAACAAAAGGGTGGAAAGGAATCGTCCCCCCACCCTTGAAGATCTCTTCGGAGATCGCGGCTAGGCCATCAGCAAGATGCCGCGACGACCGGGTGGCGTTGAGGAACACCTCTGCTCAGACGTCGAACTGTCTTTTTATCCTCTCAAACTCTTCTCGGGTGAGAACAAAGAAGACATCGAGGGATGCGTTCGTGGGAAAATCCCGCGAAGATGAACAGGCTCCTTCCGCGGGTCGGGACGTTGAAAGTTCCATTCTAGAGTCTGCAACACCGACAGACAGAAAGTCATTTTAGCCATCGCACGTTGCCTAGCACGGCGGCGTGGAACAAAGTCCCTAAACCCTAACAGTAGCTCGAGCCACCATTCACGACTCGAACCTGATTCCGGCGTTGTGTCTCTGATGAAACACCAGGAGACCCAACGCCGTTGCACCCCCAAATTAAAAAAAATAAAATAAAAAAAAGACCTTACCTTCTGGGGCACGTGACTGAGGACAGTTCCTGTTTCAGATATCGGAGAGATGCTGATCGAAAAAGAAGAACTTTCGGTTTGCAAAAGTCTTTCACTCGAGGCAAAAAGGGTTCTGGTGGCATCATCTGAAAAAAGTTCGGCTTTTATATATAGACTATGAATCGATGGTTACCACCCCTCAGAATCGAAACGACGCGCTTCTCTCTCTCCACATTAAATGCGCCCCACGTCGCATTCAATGTTGTGATGAGGGTTGTCGTTTCGAATATATCGCGCAATTAATGCTCTGTCAAAGCAACTTTGGGTCAGCACACAACGCATTTAATGCTCTTGACAGACGCCTGACATGCGCAGAGCGCCTATCAGCGTAGAGACGACCTCATTTAGTTCATCTCTAAAGCAGTAAGGAGTGCCCGATGAGGCTAGGTCACTTAGGGGATGATTGTCAGGTCGTTCGGGCGAAGTTTGTGCGAGGATGTGTTCACAAAAGGCCTTGTCCCGAGCTCCTTCCATTCGGGTCGAAATTATCCGAACCTCTAATTGCGGCATGATTTAGTTTCCAAGGTTCGATCCTCAAACCTTAAAAACTAGGGGACTTCTGTTATGCCTGGAAATCCAAGGGCTAACGTAGGAGATCACGTGATTGGGGGGCGGGGGTTGACCTGCTTCTGTCAGAATGGTAAGCACACGTCAGGCCTGCCAATAGCTACAGAGCTCCCACGTGTCCCTTTCCCTGCTCCAAATCGCGTGAAATCAGTTTGGAAGGTGGGAAATGTGACATAAAGCCGGATTTAATCCTGACATTCACACCAACCCATGGATTTAATGATGATTACTTGCACTCACCTCACTATAAAAAGGGGAAGACCCCTTCATTAAGGGGATTCGGCTATTTTACATTTGGAATTAGCTCTCTCTCTCTGATAACTTTGTATTTACTTTTTACCAATCATTTGTAAGTCAGTCCGCTGTTGCGACCTGACCCACTATATTAATACAAATCAGTGGACGTAGGACTTGCTACCTTAGCATCCGATCCACTTTAAAAGGCTCTCATTGCATTTACTCTACATTCAACCCATAATCACGTGTGTCTCTTGACCAATCAACGTTACGCAAGTGTCGATTAGTTGGTGCCAAAAATCACGCATCAACAAAGTGTTAAACATTTACTCATTGGAGAAGCAAAAAACTCAAAGATAAATAACAATATACACATGAACACAACTTCCATTGGAGTTCATACACATGAAGATATTGATATAATATTTTAAAATAAATATAATCGGACAGTAGAAAAACTTTTTTTACAGAAATATTGATAATTAAAACAATATACTTCCTTTCTGTGGGATCCTTTATATATAGAAACAAGTAGAAACATAGTTTAGTGCTTAGAGGGGAATTTTTATAATTTTTCATTTGGGTTTTTAATGTAACCTTAATATTGTTTCAAATCAGTAGCGTACAAAAGTTCATGTGGAGCAGATTTTGGAATTGGATTAAATTTAGGGCCTATTTGTTTCACTCTTTTCGAGTGACTTTTCTGTTATCCTATTTAGATTGAAAAACAGAATATGTGTTTGTTTAATTATTGGGTCATTTCATTCAGAAAATTAATCTAACTCAAATATGATTTTTTGTCTAGAGTTGGAAAAGTGTGGGACTTGTTTTCTATTATTCAATTATATTCAATTTAAAACATTTAACAATTACTTTTCACAATAAAAGTTTATAAATTAACAAAAACACTCCCACCCACCCAAGCCACTGTCGGTCACTAGCAACCACCGTTGCCCACCAGTCGTTGCCGTTGCCATTGCCACCGTCGGTCGTCGATGCCAGAACGACGCATGACTGGCCAGATCTGGCTGGTTGTGCGTCGATGCCGAAACGACGCATGACCGACTGGATCTGGCAAGTTGTGCGTCGATTTGGTTGTTTCCAGCCAGATTCATTTGATTGAGAACAGCTAGATTTACGACCAGAGATTTGGCTATTGACGATGGTCATATCTTGGCCATCAACGACAGCCAGATTCGGGTATTAGATTTGACTGGAAAAGGCTAGATTGAAGCACGACAGACCAGATCCAGCCAATCGTGCACCATTCCAACGATAGCCGACTATCGCCCGGCGGTGGTGGCCGATTGCCGGCAGTGGCTTAGATGGGTGTGGCTATTTTTGTTAATTTATAAACTTTTGTTGTGAGGGGTGTTTAGCTAAATTAACAAATATAAGGGGTCAAAAAAATCTAAATATTTTCAGAAAATGTACCAAACAACTATTTTATATTTTTATTCTGATAAATTTTCAGATATTGTACTAAACACATTCTCAGAATCCTATCTTATTTGATTTAATCATATCCTATCTTATTCAGAAATAGTTTTTCAAAATATCATATTTTAAATAATGTACCAAACAACCCCTAATTTTTTATAATTATTTGGGAGTCCTTTGCGGTTTCATTCGGGACGGTCTAAATATGAATCTAGTTTTTCATTAAACAGAGAAGTAATCCTTACTGTGCAATTAATATCAATAAGCATTTGATGGTCTAAATATGAATCTAATTTTTCATTAAACAGAGAAGTAATCCTTGATGTGCAATGAATATCAATTAGCATTTTTTATTATCACCGGTGGTGTCAAGACCAGCTTGAACGCACCTCAACTAATCCCAAGATCCTAAAGTTAACAATAGAGTAAATCTCTTCAGTAGCCACCCCTATTAGGGCACGCGGGTGAGGACTTGAACTCGGAAAACTATGTTAAATCCTCTTCTTGCTCTTGTGGAGACTCAAACTTGGGAGATCATGTTCATCCTCCTTCTGTTTTTTACAATGAGCCGGTGGAGCTGATTTTGGAGTTGTTAATGGCAGTTTCCTTGACATTTCCAACATGCTTCGGAACAATCAAAAAGTCCTGAATTGATGAACTCTTGCAACACACAGAGTCTGATGGCGCAAATTTCAAGTCTTAATAAAGTGGATAGGTGATTTCCAGTCTTCGCAAAGACTTGAGACACTGAACAACCTTTACGTGATGAAGGATCTTGTATGAAGTCTCCTTAAGGTCAAAGATACGGTAATAGTTCATGACACACGTGTTTATTGCTTTAAAAAAAAGAAAAATCTTTTGACAGTAATAAGAACGACAGAAAATATTGTGGGAGTCCTTTGTGCTTCCGTTTAGAATGGTTTAATATGAATTTAATTTTGAAATGAATATCAATGGAAATGATGTGTAATGTGGAAAAGATGAAAAGTTGAAATGAATGGAATTTCCTGCAGCTAGCATTCCAATTTCCAAACATTCAGAAATGAATATCACTTGGAATTAATAATTCCCAAGTCTGTGTGAAAGATTGGAAATTTATGAATCTGCTGTCAAACTTTTTGACAATCATCTATCCACTTTACTAGGTCTTGCTTTTTATGGTGTGACTTTTTTACTGTTGTGAAATTCATTTATTCTAATTATTCATTTTTTGTTTCCCACATATAGAATGCATTAGCATTAATTAATCGATTTTCTACTGAGTATATTAATTGCACATCAAAGGATCACGTCTCTGTTTAATTATGAAACATTAGGTTCATATTAAATCATAATATGAATAACATTTACTATTCATTTTAAAAATTCACAACTCTTTTTGAATTATTATATAAAAAATAAACTGATTATATAGAGAAAATTGACAATTTCTAAGTATGATGATTTCACATTTATTGAAACAACCTTATCGTATTTTCTGTCCAGCCAGCTTCAACTTCATACACATGAAGATATTGATAATTATGTTCCAAAATAAGGATAAAAACTCTTTCTACAGCAACAAGAACCAGAGAAAATAATTTGGGAGTCCTTTGTGCTTCCATTTAGAATGGATTAATATTATTTTAATTTTGAAATGAATATCAATAAGCATTTCTTAATTTACTCGATGAAAAATCGATTGATGGAAAGGACGTTCAATGTGGAAAAGATGAAAAGTTGAAATGAGTGAATTTCCTGCAGCCTTTCAAAATTTCAAAAAGTCAAAAAGTTTGCAGTATGTCTTCTTTACGTGATGGAGGATCTTGTATCAAGTCTTCTTTAAGTCAATGATACAGTAACATTTCATCCCACACTTCTTATAAAATTACATATCTAAACTCCATGATCTCATTTACCTATTAAACATAACTTGCCATTTTCTCTTGAATTCTCAAAGAATAATGGGATTCAAATTTCATTATAATCAAGTTCTCTGCCTCCTCTTCTTGTTCTTGTATGCTGATTTTGAAGTCAATCCAACAGTCATATGCAATCCCAAAGAGAGTCTTGCCTTGCTCCAATTTAACAACACCAATGCATTTAATCTTACTGTGTCTACTTATCCTAAAGAAGTTTGTACTCCTCAGACACTCTCTTGGGTGGAGGGTACAGATTGCTGCTTTTGGAAAGGAGTAACATGTGATAATGTAACAGGTAATGTAATTGGCTTGGACCTCAGTTCCAGTTGTTTGAGCGGTACCATCCTCGACAACAACACTCTCTTCCAACTTTCCCACCTTCAATGGCTCAATCTTGATTATAATTTTTTTGAAGTTTCCCCAATGTCATCTGTGTTTGGTTTGTTAAGAGATTTGACGCATCTTAACCTTTCTACTTCTGGATTTTCTGGCCTAGTACCTTCTGAAATATCTCACCTATCCAAATTGGTTTCACTTGATCTTAGTGATAACCTTCAATCCCGCTCGCTGAGATTTGAGCCACAAAATTTCGCGTTGCTGGTGCAAAATCTTACAAAATTAAGTGTTTTTTGTCTTACTGGTGTTGATATGTCTTTAGTATCTCCTGTTTTGTTATCGAAATTATCTTCTTCGATTTCAACTCTCTCACTCGACGACACTACAATGCATGGGAAAACCCCAGCTAATGTTTTTCGCCTACCAAACCTTCACATACTCCGTTTATCTTATAACAGCGATCTAACGGGGTTTTTTCCGCAGTCCAATTGGAGCAGTCCACTTAGGTTGTTGGATCTCTCTTACACAAGTTTCAAAGGAGAAATACCACATTCAATTGGAAACTTAAAATTCTTGGAAGGAATATTTCTTTCAAATTGTTCTTTCACAGGGCCAATTCCAGCATCATTTGGGAACCTCACTCAACTCACCGCTTTGTGCCTCGATGAAAATGCTTTAACCGATCAAGTCCCATCATCAATATCAAAGCTAGAGCAGCTTACCCATATACAGCTTTCATGGAACTCGTTGGCAGGTCAGATTCCAAATTTTGGTAACCTTAGTAAGCTGACATTTTTAAGCCTTTCACGGAATAATTTTAGTGGTCCTCTCCCTTATCATGTGAGTCGTCTTCCGTATTTAACTGACATAGACTTGTCTCATAACTTTCTCAGCGGTAAAGTACCACCGGAGTTGTTCAGTTTGCCATCTTTGGAGAGTTTAGTACTCAGTGATAATACATTCTCCGCTCCTATTGACCAATTCGAGCCGTCTAATTCATTGTCTGATGTTGATTTGAGTAATAATAAGATAAGTGGCTTAATTCCAAGTTCCATGTTTAAACTTGAGAAACTCACTTCTCTTGATCTTTCATCAAATAACTTCAGTGGCACTCTCCAATTGGACATATTACTACAACCGACATACCTTCAGCAGATTTCTCTTTCATATAATAGCCTATTATCATTAAGTTCCAACAACCGTGTCAAAAATACCTCATCCATTCTTAAATCATTCGAAATGTCTTCTTGCAACATAAGTGAATTCCCGAGTAACTTGAGAACCTTAGAGAATTTGTTGTATTTAGATCTTTCCAACAATAACATTCGCGGTAGGATTTTGAAATCTGAGTCGAGAGGATTTAAGAATTTGTTTTCTCTGAATCTTGCCAACAATTTCCTGACATATATAGAGGACCACCCTTGGAGAGATATTCAAATTCTTGATCTTTCAAACAACATGCTCCAAGGATCACTTTTGGCTCCACCACCTGGAACACATATTTTCCTAGTTTCTAATAATAACTTGACTGGGTTGATTCCTCCATCTATTTGCAATTTGAGTTCCCTTGTGTATCTTTCCTTGTCTAATAACAGTTTGAATGGAAGAATTCCACAATGTTTGTGGAGCATTGTGCTTGTTTTGATGCACCTGCAGCAGAATAATCTTCATGGTAGCATTCCCGATACATTTGCAAAGGGAAGTTCGTTGGTGAGTCTTGATCTACATGGTAATGAGTTGGAAGGGCGTTTGCCTAGATCCTTGGTAAATTGCAGCCCACTGGAGGTTATGAATGTAGGAAATAACAAGATAAGTGATATATTTCCTTATTGGTTTGGAACTCTTTGGAATCTGAAAGTTATTGTCTTGAGGTCTAATAGATTTTATATGGTCCCATACAGGATTCCAAAACTTAATTTGATCTCTCCAACTTGCAGATTCTAGACCTCTCTCACAATGAATTCAAAAGTTTTTTGCCCAGAAAATTGTTTGAAACTTTGGGAACAATGATGCTTGTTTCGAATAATGAAGCTGACGTCAGATTTATTGGAGATGATTATTATGAAGATTCTGTAGTTGTGACAATGAAAGGGCGGGATATTGAAATGACTAGGATACTAACGATTTTTACATCCATTGATCTGTCACAAAATAATTTTGAGGGAAAGATTCCTGAAATTCTTGGAAACTTCAAATCACTCATAGTGCTCAGTCTTGCTCACAATAACCTAACGGGTAATATTCCATCTTCATTGGGGAATTCAATTGCTCTTGAATCATTAGATCTCTCTTCAAACAAACTTGGTGGAAGAATTCCTGTGCAATTGGTAAGTCTTACATTCCTCTCATTATTAAATCTTTCACATAATCAACTTTCGGGACCCATCCCTCAAGGCGGTCAATTTGAGACATTTGAAAGTGATTACTTCATCGGGAACAAAGGATTGTGTGGAAGGCCATTGCCAACGAAATGCAACAATGATCCGAGGCCGCAATTACCACCTGCATTTTCAGAAGGAGAAGATGATAATACAAGTGAATTTGATTGGAAAATTGCGATGATGGGTTATGGAAGTGGGGTGGTGATTGGGTTGTCCATAGGATACATTGTATTCTCAACGGGTAAACCTTGGTGGCTCGTAAGAATGGTTGAAGCCAGAGTAATTTTTTTATTTTGTTTTTTTCAGCAGGTGATGTTTGGTTGAGACAGGAAGGCAGCCAAGAACTTCTCGTCATGGTTTTATATTTGAGTTGATGTGTTTGTATGAGTATGTTTGTTGAGAATGTTGTTGGTTTCAATTCTGGAAATGTATTTTTTTTAATTTCGAAGTGTTAACTTTGTTGTAACAATAAATCCAGAATATATTGTTGTAAAATCTGAATTCTGAAAATGGAATAAAGTCTTCTTCGCATGTTATGCGCATGTAGCAGTACTTATTACAAAGAAAAAGTGATATTCATTGTGAAAATTTCTAAAAGTAGAAACAACAACAGTTTATGTAAATCTTTACTGATTGGAGAAGCAAAAAACACAAAAATAGAGGACAATATACTTTAGTTTCCATGAGATGCCTTTATAGAAGCAAGTATAAGCACGGTTAAGTATCAACAGGGGAAGTTTCATAATTTTCTCTGTTTGTGTTCTTTTTATGTAAACTTTGCATTTACAATATATCACTGCCTCAAGCCAATAGTGTACAAAAGTTCAGATGGAGCAGATTTTGGATTTTAACTAAATTTAGCTTTTGGTAGTTATTTGGGAGTCCTCTATGCTTCCATTATAGGCCAGTTTAATGTCTTTTTAACTTAATAGATGTGCGTTTCAGGTGAATGACACTTAGCTTCTATGAATCCTGTACTTCGACTTGTAATTGCAGCAATTTCACCCTTCTTACTCACTCTCACAAAAGCAAAACAAAGCATGCATTTCATCAACCCGAAAAGACCAAATTTGAATCATCTGGTTTTTTCTCAGTTTATTCCTCTTCTTCACTTCATTCCACCCTCCAATAAGTGTATAACCATTCATTTTCCACTTGCTCAAACTCATCTTTGATATTTCAAGACACGGTTCGACAATCCAAACCCCTTTTTCTCTCTTCAACTATTTTCATCTCCTCTTCACGCATTGACATATTCTTCTCCAAGTTGATTCTTGCATGGTCTTCATCTGTCATGAATTTTGCTTTGATTTTTGTTCACTGGCATCGAAAGATGATTGTGATTGTTACTTAGATTACTAGCTTACAACCGTTTTTGTATAATAAGGCTACCTAATTTCTTCTGTATAAACTCCTCCAATTCCTTATTCAATCTCTAACACTTTTATGNTAGAATCTGAAAGTAACACTTAGATCCTTACTAGTCATCAACTATTTAAAGATTTTTCCAAAAGTCTAAAATACCCCTAATTGTTGTAATTCTATTTGTTTTTAATATAAGACAAGATTTAGGGGTATTTTTTGTTAACTGATGAAGACCCAAGTGTTCCTTTCAGATTCTAACGTTACTTACACTAAACCTCAGGGATTTAACTCATTTTTCTATAGACTCTAACCACCACATGTACTAATCAAAGAGGATATTTCTTCTAGTTTGTTTCCATATGAATAACTAAACAAAAACAGACACCTGCCAAATCACATCATATGCTTTGCACATGGCCCCCATCAAAGGCAGAAAATACCGCAGGAACAGCAAAGAAAGAGTTGGTTGAAGTAACCTTTGCCTATACTCCAAGACTTGTATGGGACCCAGAAATCAATGTCATTCATGTTCCTTTGCTTCCCCATGTCCCTGTACTTTTTCTCCTCCTAATTACTCTCTTCTTCATCTTTAGTAGAAACTAGGAGGCTTACTTGGAAAATGAACCCAGTTGGTGACCAACATCATTAATCTTCAAACTAAAGTAAACTACCATCTTTATTAGGCTAATTACGAAAAGGTGTTTCGAAAATGAGTACCTGATATTTTGTTGGATTTAAGCTCAGATGGACCCTAGCCTTGAAGAATAATGTGATCTGAATCATGGCTGGCTCTGCTTCAGCTACACTCACAAAATATGATTCACATGTTAGGCATAAAAGGGGTGATTCCACTGATCGACAAGTCAATCATGCATAGACATAATCTCGGAACCGAAGACTGTTTCAGGTCTTCAATATCATTTTCAAAAAAAACCTATCCATCAAAGGAGCATCAAGTACAAATTCGGCGAAAATGTGAGGTTCTCTGACCTCTAAATAATCACCTGATAAGATTACCCATCGCCGATTCTGAAAAGGATTATTGTAGTTCTTACAAACATCTATGAAAGAATTGAGTAACAAAATTGGATGATACAAGATCTCTTAAAAATGGGCGAATCTACTAATCACAGTGATTAGAGTAAAATAGAGCTTTCCAACAAGGCTCATTAACATTTCTGTAATCTGATAACTGTAACTACATAAGTTAGGCCTAACTATCTCGCTTCCTAGACTGATTTCTTTCTGGAAATTCTAAAAGCACAACTACTGATCAGTGAGATACTATTAAATACATAAATACATGTACATGTTATTGGACATCCAAGCATAAAAGCAGTCTCGCATGACCAACAGAGCTAGCTTGTACATTCCCCTTTCATTGAGAAATGCAGTAAGAGAACAAGCGTGTGATGTGCTGCTATCAGACTATCCTACACTTGTGACTTATCTGCCTGCTGTGTAAGCTCTTTATCAGCAAAATGAAGCAACCTTCTCAATCTTAAAACCATATCACAGTGAAAAGGCAGTGCAGTTCGACGCTCCAAGTAAGCAGGGCTCACAGTCATCCATGACAGGGCATGAAGTTCTGCTGCAATAGACTCGAGAATCAAATGGGTCTCTATTTCAAAATCTTTAGCTTCTGAGCTTACAGTCCTTCTTCCCTGCTTGATAATTCCCCTTACGATTTTATCTTGGGTAATGTTATTACCTCCATAATAATCAATTAGACCAACTGAAAGTACAGAAGGCCATTCTTCTTTCAAGTTGTTCTTGCGGTCTTTTCTCATAGATGGTACAGCTTTGGAGACCACAAAACCTGTGGAAACGGGAATTGCAGAGCCTTTACTGTGAAGGAGATGAGCGAGGGGGGGAGACTCGGCAGTAAGGCATGTGGGGAGCTGGAGAGGTGTTGGAGGAAGGAAGCGCATGCTGGGTGATGGGATCAATATGTATGATGCAGATGAAGCACCGAGGGACTTTACAGGGGTGAAACCTTCCAAATAGCCTGACAGGCCCACAGCACTGCTACCTTGACTTCCTCCTGCAGAAATATAGGTAGGAATTCAGAAAACAAAAGAATGCATCATCATGCAGAATATTATGTTCATCTAAAAGGCAAAAGAAGTTACATGACTGTGCTGGTACAAGGGAACGCCAACAAGGTGCTTAAAAAAATGTTAAGCACATCATTTTGGAAACTAGAATTCAAAATCTTTCTTAAGGCAATCTTTGATATAAGAGTGAACTTTGTTTCCAGCATCATACTTGAATATCTTTTATAAGAAAATGTTAATGGAAACTGCTTGCCATTAAAATAAATCTTCAGATTTCAAAAATCCAAGGATGTCTAAAAATTTCTAAGCATTTGTCTTTTAATTCGTTAATGTACCAGTTAACCCAAAAGCATAAGCTATTAGGTAGGAGTTCAACAATAATACTTTAATGTTCTCACAGCAGCTGAATGCAAACAATTAAAATGATGAAAGACTGAAAGCTTACCAGGAGATGGTGAATCTGCTTGATGAACTAAATGTAAAGAATGGTCGATTGAAATTGCAACAAAGCTGATGCTCTGTACCCACTGAAGCAACCCCCTTGAGTTGTCAACCATTGTATGTCCACTAATAAGCTGTTTTCTTGCGGCAGGTTGTCCTAAACCACCTTTCATAAAGCCAGAAGATTTTGAGTGAGGGCTATACAATGGACTAGGTGAGGATGGCAGTGCCCTCTCTTGGATCAAACTCATCTCCTGCTGCTGCAAGGACGTGCCATTACTGCTTGAAGGCATCCCATCAGGCACAGATCGACGTAGTTGCAAAGGCCATTTCTTCATCTCAGACCCACCAACTGAATAAATGGCTTTCTGCCACTCTGTTTAATCATATGACACACCAAATTAGACACAACTCAATGCCAAGAAAACAGAAAGAAACACTATTTGTTGCCTCATAGGCTAAACAAATAATTTTAAGTGGGTGACGAGTCTCCAATGGCATAGCAGAAGGTTTCACAAGAGAATATTCTAAGTTGCCGGTTGACATTGATGGTGATAAATTGTTGAACAGAAGTGGCAACTCATTTTTTTTTTACCATGAAAAGCATGTGACTGGTGAAAAACAGCCAAGAGTAAAAACACAGTGATGTAGATCCCCCGCCTAAAGACATTAGGAAAGGCTATAGTAGTAAATATGTTACAGGATTCTATAGGTTCTTGGATTTTATTTCTTTTAGTATTTAATTTTATGCTTGTTTTCCTTTTACTTTAGGTTATCCTATTCTATTAGGAGAGTGATTTTTTATTCTATTAGAATAATGATTTCATATTCTATTAATAGTAGTGTGATTTCAAGCCTATAAATAGGCCTTAGATTTATATGTTATTCGGACTTTGATTATTAATACAAATTATTGAAAACTCCCTCCCCTAAATTCTTTCTATTTTCTTCTAAATTTCTCTCTTCTTTCTTATCTGTTCTCTTCCTTTCTCTTACCTCTCTCCTTGTCCTACATCATATAGTAGTTTTATTGAATAATATTCCATGGTTAGCTACCAAGTAAATGGCAGTGATCATTCCTGCATTGATCAGCAAAAATATGGAAAGCCGGAATATAAGATGATGAGAAGAAAAAAGGTATACCTAGGTATTCAAGCTCATAGAAACTTCCAATGCGTGCAATCACGAAATCTCTTGGCTTTGCAGCACCGGAATCAGGAGAACATGTCTGCAATATCTGGCAGCCTTGCTGTAAAACTTGCACAAATAGGCATTGCAGACCTTTTGTGTCCTGCCTACTACTGATTCCACCAAATGGAAATATATGGCTGTCAAGCAATTCTCCCCTAGCATCAGTCCAGATGCATACAAGCCAACGCCAGTCCTCTGTCCACCCATAACAGCAATGTAGGCTTGGAAGAGTCTTTTGATGGGCAGACCCAAAGCCATCAGACTCAGATCCATCAAGCTGAGAGCTTGATCCAGCTTCAACACTTCCCACCGAACTTCCA